CCCGGTCGCAGCCGCCGTAGCAGCCGCCTCCGCCACTTCCTCCTCCCGCTACGAAGCCTCCGGCCGTCAAGCACCACCAGCCGCCAAACGCCACTGTGCCTTTTGCGACAGATGGAAAAGAAAGAGGGCGGGGAGAAGTGAGCCCGGGAAGAAGGCGGAGCTACGGTGGGAGGCGGAGCTACGGTGGGAGCCGGGGCGCTCAGGAGTGACGTCAGAAGTAGAGCCGCGTACGACAGTTCGGCGTTAAAGGCAAAAGCGCCTATTCGCTGCTGATGGATGGCTCCAACAGCCCGGGACTTTCACGCGGAGTCCCGTGGCACAAAGGCCTGCGAGTTGGGTGGCTGACCTCAGAGACAGAGGTTCGAGCCTCCCGGCCGCTCTTATAAAGATGTATAGTCTTGGAAACGTTTTTGAGAGTCAGAATTGAGGGTACTTGGTTTGGTTTGGGGTTTCGTTTTTTATTTACGGACTTCAAAACAAAAATACAGCACAAAACTTGTTTCCGCTGCGAAAAACTCATCCAGAAAAGAGGAAGAACATCCTATTATAAGCACCATCACACCCCCACACGCCCCACCCCACCCCTGACTTGGAAGCCAACACCCTGGATGAGGGTCTGTAAATCAACACCCTTTAGGCCGCTAACTAAACTGGTGCAGGTGGCTCCACTTTCAGCCAAACAATGGGCCTACTAAGTGAACAATGGCACCTGGCCTAGAACAATGGACCAGAGGTGAGGAGGGCGGCTGTTGCCCAAGGGTAAGGCTCCTGGGCAGGTGGGGACAGCGATGAAGGAAGGTAGGTCAAGGTGAGCAGGGGGGGCCGGGGGAGGGTGCAGTCCTCCTGTCCTGAAGGAGATTGCAACCAGTGTCCCGAACAGAATGTGTTGGCCGCAGTGGGAAAAAGCAGCTTTGTTCTGTCAACTTACACAATAAAAAGCAAAACCCAGGGGAAGGGGAAGGTGGGGAGAAAGGAACCGATCACAAGGATCTCCATTTAACCCACTCCCACGGGGACAGACAACAGGAAAGTGGGTGAAGGGAGACAGTGGTCAGTGTGAGACATGAAAAAAAAATAATAATTTATAAATTGACAAGGGTTCATGAGGGAGGGGAAGAAAAATGAGCTGATACCAAGGGCTCAAGTAGAAAGAAAATGTTTTGAGAATGATGATGGCTACAAATGCACAAATGTGCTTGACACGATGGATGTAGGTATGGTTTGTGATAAGAGCTGTACGAGCCCCCAATAGAATGATTAAAAAATTTTTTTATTTAAAAATTGTTAAATAAAAGTAAAACACTAAAACTAAAAAACAAAACAAAACAAACAAAAAACCACCTTGTAACAGTACTGAACAGTAGGGGGAAAAATAAAAGTAAAAAGTAGTGAAAAATACTTTGTTGACCGGGCTTCCAGACTTGCCTGGATTTCTGTGTGCACGCATGAGCTTAGCAGGGTGGAGAAGCTGTTTCTTTTTCTCTCCCACCTGAAGGCTTCGAGATCTCAAACCTGAACTTCCACTTATTAAATAACACTAGGCATTAGCCGTCCATTCAAGCACTTTGAGAATCGGTTTTGTAGTGACTGATCATTGGAAAAAGACATGTTGCTTTGTGTCTGGGGAAAGAATTCGATATGTGCACAGAGGGGGACAATGGAGTGATTGTTTCCATATGGGATCTGGAACATTCCAAAGCCAGGCGGCAGTTACTAGTTGTTGAAAATGAAGCAGTCTCTTGGGGGGCTGTTTTTGGTAGTGGCAGTGGTTTTTGTGTGCTGTGAGCACACGGGTGATTGAAAAGGTGGCATTCTCTTGCTATTGGTTACTGACACGTCAGCTCTGAAGGATGCCACCCCGTGTCAAGACTCAGTGTCGCCTGGTCCTGCACCTTTCTGAGTTCATTGCTGTGGCCACTCGGTATCTGAGGGCCTTCCAAACATAGGGGCTCATCTTCCTGCACTATCTTGTATAATAGTCTGTTGTGGATTTTCTTTTATATATATATAATCATTTTATTAGGGGCTCATACAACACTTATCACAATCCATACATACATCAATTGTGTAAAGCGCATCTGTACACTCATTGCCCCTGTTGTGGATTTTCATTACCTGATTTTCAGAAGTAGATCACCAGGTCTTTCTTCCTAGTCTGTTTTAGTCTGGAAGCTCCACGGAACCCTGGGTGATCCTACTGGTATCAAAAATATTGGTGGCAAAAAATAATAATAACGGTGGCAGAGCAACTAGGATGAAAGGACAAGTGGCCACTCCAGTAGAACGTGCCTATCCAGGACTTAATTGCTAA